TGGGATGATTTGTTCAATGATCTGTTTGTTTGCTTTCTTGGGTGCCCACTGTATTCTCAGCATTCTTAAACACTTAACACCAAAATTACAGTTACAGTCAATGGATTACAAAGATCTGTCGGCCTGGTTTGGGATATACAAGATTAAATCTGTGAGGCTGCTAAGAAGCTACATCAACACCATCAATCATCAGATTTATCAAACCATAATGGACTGCTAAACTGGGTTGAGTAATACAAATGATTTATTATTTTCAAGCCGTTTTCAGGTCACGTTTAGAGGCAGACTGTGGGGTAGGATTTCAACCAGGTCCCCGGCCTGAGAAGGCAACTATTTGAAATTGAAGGACGGGAAACGTTTATTCCACGGGTTCTCGGGCACGGCCCCCATTACACTTTCACCCAAACGGCCCAGAATGGCGTGGTGGACCAAAAACTCTCACGAGCCAATTCCTGAGTCAGGCAGGTTTCTCCCAGCCCTCCTCCGGAGCCTGGGCGAGACATGACGAAGAGGCCGACAGAAACCTCCCTCCAATCGGAAGCGCGGCCTCCCCACCGTGCACCACCCACCGGGAGTGTTGGCCTATCAACCTGTCAGAGCGCTCCCCCTCCGTGGCAGCCCAACCGCTGGCTCCTCCTCGGTGAGGTAAATCATAGTCAGCGTGGCTCTGCCAATCGCCGGCAGAGGAACGCTCGGGGCGGTCCTCTTTAACTCTGGGGTGACTCCGAAGCGGGTCCATCGAGAAGGAAGACGTGCTGGAGCCGCTCTCAGGGACGCGCCGTTTTCCTCCCGTTTCTTAGATCCACCGGCGGGTGAGTGCGCTCGTCCAAGAGAGGGGGGGAAGAGATTTCTCGATACTTTTTACGAGGCTTTTCGGGGCCTGCAAGAGAGAGCCGCGCATCCTGTCCGGCTTAAGGCGGCTGCCTCCCTCCCCGTTCTTGCATTCCCCGGCTGCCACACCCTATTCGCTGCGGGCTTGGGACCGATCTCGCCACCTTCTCCCAGTCCGCGTACCCGAGAGCTTTCCACCCCCCGCCCTCCTTTTCGCTTAGCCAGCGGACAAGCCATTTCCTCTCCCGCCTGCCCGCAGCGCGCGTGACGCAGGCCGACTTGACAGGAGCAGAGCTCCCCGAGGCTGCTGCTTGAAAGCAACGGGAGCTGGGCAAAGAGGCTATTTCCTTTCTCGGAAATACTCTAGCACGGGTTCGTTTACCGCAACGGTTTGAAAAATGGGGGCAAGAGGCGGCGGGGACACCACGACGACGACGACGGGATGTTGCTGCAGAAGAGGCCGAGAGTATATTCGTTAAGAGAAATGGGGCCGGAGAGACTGAAGCTAGTTGAGGGAGCACCACTATTCGCCCCGGTTTTCGTGACGGATTAATCTGAGGCAAAACGGTCGAATCGTAAAAATAGGGAAGGAGGGGCAGTTGCTAATCGAAATACACCCTTTTCCCCCTCAGCGTACACAAACTCAAGGGCTTCTGACGTCAGTGTGACAGACAGACATTCAATAGGGGAGGCTTTTTGTAATCCTGGCAGTGCGATAATAAATAAAACAATCTAACGTTGATATGTAGCTGTTAAAAGCATAGGAATTTCGGTTTGGTGTCACTGGCATCAATAGACTTCCTTTAGATCCCCTCCCCCCTTTAGGTGAATGCTGAAGTTGAATTTAACCATTCATTTCTTGTACATCGTTTTCTTCTCTTCCTTTTTCCCCTTCATCCTTGTTTTCTATCCTTAGAAAAATCATTTTCCGAAATAGGATTAATTGTAAAAAGGAACAGAAAGTTTCTGCAGGAGAAACAGTCCAGACTTGTATTGTGCCTGCTATAAGTTATTGTGCAAAGTCTTCTGTATTTGCATAAACTCTTCAGTAAAAAAGAGGTGTTGGGAGTAGCAATATGTGTAAGCAATAGTTTATAGCTCACCATGAAGTTAGAAAGAGACAGAAGGAAGTTAATTATCTGCTTCTCTTCCATCTTTGTTTTCCTTTCTTTTCAAATGTATGGTGATAAGAGAAAACCTCAATCTGAGCATTGTTCTCATATACGGAATGAAGGAAGAAATGATTTATTAATATGACTGACTACACATCTATGTAAGATGTTCTGAGCACCAAACATAACAAAAACCAAATTTGATTAGAACAAAAAACAACAACTGATGCATGCATTTGACAAGAATTTGCAATTGTCAGTGATTTCTCATATCTTGCACATTATACAGTTGTGTGTTAAATTGCTTGCCAAGTCATTACCTAAGTTGATTCCCTCAAAGTACATTGCTGAAAATTTTCTGAGATACTATAAAGATTAACATTTTGTGTCACAACCTTTAGAGACTCTTCATCATATCTGATCAAGGTACAGGAAAGTTATACCATAATGGATGTATTTGTTACATGCATAATAATTATTTTTTATTGCAACACTATATTTTCATTGGAACAGAACAAAAGGGCTACTCTCTTCTTAGTAGGCTGATGCTGATGTTGGAATTTGGAAAAATATCTCAGGCTCAGAAAAATGTATTGGAAATTTTTGCATTTTTAATTTTTTAACATTCTGTATTAAACATAACATGCTTATGAAGTTTACATTTAGATGTAACAATTCTTCCCACCTTTCAGTTTAAAGCTATTCTTGAACTGTTCAAATTATTGAATCAAAATCAAATGCACAGTTTCTTTGAGTTTTTAAAAGGTTTTAAAACAAAAGATTCATAGAATGCTTAATTTTTTTCTTGTTTTTGTCAACTTAAATTTCTATTCTCCCCGCCATACAAAGTTAGAGGAACTTTCTGTTCCAAAGTTAGCTCCTGTTTATGTACATTAGGAATAGTGAAGATGAGACATGAGAAAAATGTATGTGATATGAATTAAATATATAATCAAATCTTATATTTTAGATTCAGTAGGCATAGGTTGTTCTACTTTATTTCAGTTGTATATCAAGACAGTTGTATGCTCAGTTAGAGATAAAAATATTTAAAACTGACTTCACAGTAAATGCAATATTTAAAATGGAGTATGTTATTTCTATTTATTTGTTAGAACTATTTTATATCCACACAAAATCCCAACTAAGTACAATAGCAGCTATTTTCTTTGCTAGGCTGCTTTTATCGTAAGTTTGGAGTTCTTAACGATTCATGAAGATATCAGATCATGAGTGAATGGATTGTGCAAGGAGAAGTTATTCAGTCAGTTTTCTTCCTGATATAAATAATTACTTCTGATTGAGGTGGCCTGTAAACTTTTTCTGCCCAGCTTGTATGCCTGATTCCTGTCAAGAGCTGAGAATGTGGAATGTAGTTGTGCGGGAGGGCACATTACTGGCAAATTACTGTGCTTAGCTGACACCTCAATTTCATCAAAGACACTATTCTATGGCGAAAGTATTTCAGGGAAATTAATTTTAATTTTAAATTAATTATTTCCCACTAATCTCAAATTATGCATCTTGTATTTTTAAATGTCACCATTCTATAGAAGAAGACACTGCTCACCTGTCTGTCTAATATTGATGTAGGCACATAGCTTTTTAATAGTTTTGAATGCAGTTCCAGCTATTTGTTCTAATATGCCCTATCACATTTCCTCCTTCACCATTCTGAAACAGATGAAGTTGGGAGAAATGTGCTTCCTCCAGTCCCTTTATTATTTTACAATGCTGTAGCATGTAGGAGCCTATTGAAGTAGTAATAAAAGCCATGGAAAAGTATGGGCAAGGAAAAATGCATATAATTTTTCCTCATTTGTATATACTATATGAAAAATAAGACAAAAACATAGCAGGGGAACTCGTGGAGAATAGTGGGCTTAAAATGTAACTTGAATAAAATGCATCTGTTCATAAATGACTCTCTGAAAGCTCAGAAAAATAAAAATTCAGTTGATATGTTTGAGTCTTTAGATAAAAAGTTAAATTGTGTTTTATGTAAACAGCAGATTAAAGTATGCATGTAATTTTTAAGTGATGTTTGTAATTCTGTAGTATTCACTGGGGAACTCTCACCTTCTGGTTTGGGTGATTGTTCAAGTGCAGATTTAGGAGCAAATGTCGAGTTCTGTAAAATAAGTCTCTGTGGGTATCTCATAGGGGTTATTTCATTAATAGTTGAAACCATCTGCCATATGAATGTATAGATCCCAGCATGCACTTGAACTGTAAATGTTTAAGGAAAGGAGCCAAGCATGCTTCTTGTCTAGGAGATTATGTGGTAGAGTAGTTTTTGTCAAAATCATGTACAGGGAACTTAATATGAATTGGCATGCTGGTAAATAAAAGCAGAAAAAATATTTTGTGTATCTTAGAGATTTTATCAATTGTTTAGGTATTAAATCCCTCTCTCAGTCTAACTATGGCTTATGCTTTGCTGGTTACCTGGAGCAGATGCATTTTTTTCAACCTGCCCATTAAAGACTCATGCTTACTCCATAAAGACTCCTCTTTGAGTCAAGGACCTACTTTTATTTGTCCTGGAGCAATCATTAGTAGGAAACTGCTAATATGCATTATGTTTATATACAATGTTTTAGATGGCTTTCTAAATACTGCAGCTTTCTATTAATTCACAAGATATTGCCTAGGATTTAGGTGGAAGTCATTAATTTTACAGGAGGTGAATACATGGGATAAAATTGGTGAATGGCTTTTGCTCATTCTTTCCCACGTCGAAAACATTACCCTAAAAAGAGACCTCAGTATTTGAGGACTCCAAAGTTTTAATTGCAGGACCAACAGCAGTTCAATTACAATGAAATGTTGTTTGCCTTAAGGCAGGTAGGATCACTACCTGCTCAGTTGTGGATTATCACTAAGGAAATACATGTGACTTTTATTATTGACACAATCTCTATGATTTCTATCTGGAGAAGGGGTAGCAGGGTGTAGCAACAGTTGCTGCTATACTAAAGTTTAGTAAACACTCTTGAAGTTAAATGAGAGCCAGTTTGGGCTAATAGTTAAGGTACTAGGCTAGAAAGCAAGAAACCATGAGTTTAAGTATTGTCTTAGCCATGACAGCAAGCTGGGTGACCTTGGGGCAGTCACACACACACACAGACAAACGGGGTTGCTGCTCTGGGGAAAATAGGAAGGTGTGTTGGGTATGTTTGCCGCTTTGACTTATTTGCAAAAATCATAAAGGTGGGATACAAATAAACAAATAGAAATAAATAAATCAGGCTAGCTTGGTTTCTGATGGTAAGCCAACATTCGTGATTGCTCATATTTAATAGTTTGACCTGATTATTATTGCAAATAATAGCTTATCTTTTATTTTTATTCAAATGTGATTACGTTTTACTGAATTGGAAAAAAAATGGTCTCCTTCACAAAAAGATATTTTAGATCCCCTTTCTGGGCCTATGTCACTAGATGTCACCAACATTATCAAAATGTGGCCTGCAGGAAATTTGAAAGGATTTAGACTTACTAAGAACTGTTAATAGTGTAGATTCCAGAGAAGAATACGATTGAAATAGAGCCCATTTACTTCTCTCTTTGGATATAACAGTCTTTCAAAGGGCAGCTCTATAATAATTTTTTTGACTTGATCAATTTATTCCTCTATTACAAGCTTTAGATTATATAATTTTATATGATGGTTAGAACATGTCGGCCTTTATAATCTATTAGTACTGTTAAGGCAGTTCTGTTTTATTGCAGCCTACTGTATAGTACTTCACTGAACTAGGGAAAATATTTATTTAAAAAAACCTGACTTATTCTAAAAGAAGTAGCAATCTAATGGATATACAGTTGAACTAGTGGAAATTAGCACGTATGGTTTGTGGTCAGCATAATGCTCTGAATATAAAATTGGAGTTGGAACTTCTGTTTTCAGTGTTGTCTTCCATTTCAAGGGTACTTTTCCCCACTGATCTGGATGTTCTGCACAACCTCACTTGGCAGGGCAAGAAGGATTCCAATCCCCTCCTCCATCTCTATGCATCAATATACTATTGAGAGATTCTTCTCTGCATCCATGTGCGTGGCAGTACCAGGCACAACACTTCTATGCAAGCAACTCATGTGGGTGTGGGGTTTTGTGCTGTTGACTTCAGAATGTCAGTGGGTTGAAGATGCAACCAAGCTACGGGCTTGATGTGTCATGTTACAGTTTTGCCAGTATACTGTTTGTACAGGTGGGTGGAGCTGGAATTTGGGCATTAGATTACAATAATAGATGCTGAAGCACAACTGAGCTTTATTTCAATATGTAGTTCCAATTAACATTTCTGTGATTCCAGTTGGAAAATGCATGGTGAACATGTTCCTATGTAGATATCCAGATCTGCTCTATTGCATGTGATGGGAGGAGAGGTGATTTTCTGTCTCCTTTTACCCCCGTGGTTTCAATTCTATAGCAGTAGAATTGTGTTACATTCTTTCTTCTACCTAAAGTTGATGGCAGTTTAATTTTAGTGTCAACTAAAACATTTTTCTTCTCAAACCAGTGAGGGGTGGGGGAGGGCTTTCAATTTCAAAGCCATTTTAGCAACCTGTAGAATGTTGCTGGTGAAAATTCCCACTGCACTGTTCCAGTCTGACCTGTTCAATGCTTTGGTACACACTGGTGCCAGGGCAGAATGGTATCCAGACAATATTATATGGCCACAGAGTGTATAGGAATAGGCTTTTGAGAATGCCACATAAGAACTGTGCTGTATTCTTGGTCTGGGTGTTTGTATGACACAATTGCACCATAGACTAGAAATGGGGCTGGGCTGCTTATGTGGCAGAATGCTGAGCAGAATTCCCTCCAGCTCCCAAACAGGCTGAGCAGGTTGAGCCCATGTGGGGCAGTGACAGCTCAATCTCTGTATTCTACTGATTATGCAGGAAAGTTTATTGGGCATTTAATTTCCCCTTCTTTCTCTCTGTAATATGTAAAAAAAGAAATATTTAGACCTGATTAAATCTTAGCCTTTGAACAGATATGTTCATTTAATCATCTCTAATCAGGGAAATGTAACTCATTATAGTACAGAGTGCACAGTGGGGATATTAATGCTGAGAGTACTTATTACTGATATCTCAGTAATTAGTTTCCTATTAAATACAAAAGCATACAGATTCTGTTTCCTTAATCTCTCAAGGAACTACATGCCTACAGTATTTATGCAATATGTGCCCTTCAAGTGCTGTGTTCAGCTCTCAGAGCTACTTATTCAGGAGAATAAACTCTAGCGTTATATACCAGTGAATCAACAAGGAGTATCCATTTCCTATTGCTCAGATCAATTGCTTAAGTTTTGCCCTATTGCTTCAGTGGAGTACAGATTATTAGACATGGAAAGATAGGAAACTTGGTTTCTCTTTAAGAAACCACCATATTCCTCCACATCAATTCAACAGCAGTTGCCATGATTTGAATGGTGGGGAGAGTTTGCATTGCAGTGTAGCCAGGTATAGGGACCACCTGCGAATGGGTAGGTTGGGAGATAAAAATGTATTTTGGCTTAAAGGAATTTTATAAAACTGCATGGATGAATCATGAATGTTTGGGCAGAAAAAAACTTCTCTCATTTCCCATATTCACACCAAATCTATGATGTGCCTCCCATTTTAAAGGTGAATTGTTTCAGGGGAAAAAGTTAAATCTTCCTTTCATGTGGACATTATACTTTAGAGCAGGCATGTCCAACCCACAGCCTGTGGGCCACATAGCCCTGGACAGCTAGTAATGCAACCCCACATTATTATTATTATTATTATTATTATTATTATTATTATTATTATTAT